AAAAAAAAAAAAAAAAAAAAAAAAAAAAAAAAAAAAAAAAATTATGATCAGTAGTCTGTCTTCTATGCTGTCAACTTTTGTGATACAGTGTTGTGTATAACTTGTGGTCACAGCAGGATTCGACTTAGTCCACATCTGGCTTGGTTTTTTTTCCTTTCTATAAAGTCACCATTTGATATCAAATTTGAATAATGATTTTGGCCTCTTCAACCTTCACAGCAATGCAAGTGATGCTTTGGATAAGCTGCGCTTTATGAGTGTTACAGACCCTGAGCTTTTGAAGGATGCAGTTGACTTTGATATACGTATCCAAACTGATAAAGATAATGGGATTATAAAGATAACGTAAGGATCATGTTATTTTTTCTCTCCCCCGCCACCCCCCCCACATACTTATATGACTACAATGACTTGACTACGTTGCAACATCTGCAATCTGTTTTCTATCTCTATGCAGTGATACTGGCATAGGTATGACTAGGCAAGAACTTGTTGACTGTCTTGGTACTATAGCACAGAGTGGAACTGCCAAGTTTTTGAAAGCACTGAAGGTCTGTCGAGTGATTTAGCTCGATTGTTGTTATTAGTGTGCTCTCTGCTTAACAAAATTTGTTTTGTTTACAGGATAGCAAGGATGCTGGCGGAGACAATAATTTAATAGGCCAATTTGGTGTTGGATTCTATTCTGCATTCCTGGTTGCTGATAGGGTATGTCATCTCTTTAAAATTTTGCATGCCTTTTAGGGTGAACATATGTGTTGTAGCATTCATTAAACATTTCTTAATTTTTGAAGGTCGTTGTGTCTACAAGGAGCCCCAAATCTGATAAGCAATACGTGTGGGAAGGTGAGGCAAATGCTAGCTCCTACACTATTAGGGAAGAAACAGATCCTGAGAAACTACTTCCGAGAGGAACCTGCCTTACCTTGTACTTGAAGGTCAGTTTATATTTATTTGTTTTGTTCTTTATTCTTTATCCTTGCTTACTTATCTAACGTTATGCTTTCTTTGCCTGATATTTTCAGCGTGATGACAAAGGTTTTGCTCATCCAGAGCGTATTCAGAGGCTTGTGAAAAACTATTCACAGTTTGTTTCATTCCCAATATACACCTGGCAGGAAAAGGGTTTCACCAAAGAGGTATGGTTAAATTTTTTGTGCCTGCTTAATTTCTACACTTCTTTGTTAAAGTTTAAAATATTCATTCTGGTAATTGTGTGCTTCTTTCAACCTTCCAGGTAGAAGTTGACGAGGATCCGACTGAAGCTACCAAGAATGAACAAGATGGAAAAACTGAGGTAGTTTGTCTTCTTACATCCTTACATCTCAACATATTATGGCATGACAACTTACACAACCAAATCTATGAATTGTAATATAATTAATGACTTTACTATGCAGAAGAAGAAGAAAACAAAGACTGTTGTGGAGAAGTACTGGGACTGGGAACTCACTAATGAGACCCAACCAATATGGGTTAGCTCTTAACCCGTCTAATTTTCCAGTTTTGATATTAAATTGTTGTTACTTCTAACCATATAAAGGGTGCAACATCTATATGTATTTTCAGCTACGGAACCCAAAGGAAGTCTCCACGGTGGAATACAATGAGTTTTACAAAAATACTTTCAATGAATACTTGGAACCATTAGCATCATCTCATTTTACAACGGAGGTAAAGCTAAATACATATTAACTGTGTTCCTCTCCTTTTTTGTCTCGTCTTGCAAATCTGAGACCACTTTCCTTTTTTTTTTTTTGTAATCCTGTGAGAATGAGGATTACCATCCTGTCGACTAATTTGTTCTAGTTAAAATGAATCTACAAATTTTTTTCCTAGATGATTAAAAGATCAAAGAATAGTTATCTAATTTATCAAAATGATGAGAGTTCATCCGAATATCTAAAATATTTGGATTTACATTTTCTCTTATTTTTGGTCCTTCATTTAAACCACAATAAGTTGTGAATTTCTTTTTGTCTTTCATTTACTTCTTTTCATGTAGAGCTAATTAGATTATGCCCTTATGACTCGAAAAAATACATTCAGTGCTGTCTCTATCACTTTCATGATTCATGCTCAATAAGTCTGATTTTTCCTGTTGTGGCATGCATGGATTGTTAACAAGGGATGAGTATCTGTGAATATAATAAAATTTTATTATAGTACGCGAATTCACATTTTAGAAAACTATATGGAAGTACTATGAATCGGCATGCCTATGAACGTTGATAATACTTGTTGATCTTACAAAGAAAATTACGATTAGTTTCTACTTCATATGAGTGCTTTCTACTCCCTTTTTTGTTTTCATGGTGCTAATATTTGACTTAATTTTCAGGGTGAAGTAGAATTCAGGTCAATACTTTATGTCCCAGCTGTTTCTCCCATGGGGAAGGACGACCTTGTCAATCCCAAGACTAAAAACATAAGGCTTTATGTGAAGAGGGTGTTTATTTCTGATGATTTTGATGGAGAATTGGTAAATCGTTACCCAAATGAAATATCCTTCCTATGCTTTAAATGTTAGATTTTCTGGTGGTAGTGCTGATGATTTTATTGATTGTGTCCTTTAGTTTCCTCGATATTTAAGCTTCGTCAAAGGGGTGGTGGATTCAAATGACCTTCCTCTTAATGTCTCACGTGAAATCCTTCAAGAGAGTCGCATAGTAAGTTTTTGAAAGAATTGGTTCCTCTAAAGCTGTTCTTCTTCTTTTTTCTCACTTTTTTTAAATTTATTTGATCAATATAATGAAATTCATTCTTTTGTTATTTATAGGTACGGATCATGAGGAAGCGATTGGTTCGGAAAGCCTTTGACATGATTCTGGGGATCTCCATGAGTGAGAACAGAGAAGTATGCTGTTGAATAGTTGATTTCTTATTTGTTGTTACCATCCTTGTCTTTGACAAAGATAATGATATCCTAATGATCTTGAGTGCTCCACAGAATGAAATTATGGCATAAAACATAGGAAAGATTTTTAATACTACCCTGTTTTTTACGGTTTTGGCACATATTCAGTTTTTTAAGTCAGCTTATTTTTATTATTATTTTTTGGGATGTGCATCTACTTTCCTTTGAACCCTTCCTCGTCCCAACTAAAACCGAAGGCATGATCAAATTTAATATGTTGGATACAAAGTGATCTGTACTAGTAGACCATTAAATGAAATGCCTAAGTTTCTAACATGAGTAAACATGTCTATTTTTCATTGCATCTGCAAACACCTGATCAGAAAGATTATACATTCTCTAGTTGCATTTTTCAGGTTCCATATTAAATGAAGTCACGGTCTTTAATTTTATGTTTTTTGGATTTGGCAGGATTATGAGAAGTTTTGGGATAATTTTGGAAAACATTTGAAATTGGGTTGCATTGAGGACCGTGAAAATCATAAACGTATTGCCCCATTGCTTCGATTTTTCTCTTCTCAAAGTGAAGCTGAGATGATTAGTCTAGATGAATATGTTGAAAACATGAAACCAGACCAGAAAGATATCTATTATATTGCTTCTGACAGTGTGACTAGTGCTAAGAATACTCCCTTCCTCGAGAAAATTCTTGAAAAGGATCTTGAGGTAAGAACCCGATTATGCTTCATTTTTATTCTCTTGAGTTGTCTCTGATCAACTAATTCCATTTGCAGATATTGGTTCTCCTACGTTTTCCTTTCCATGTTTTGTTCATTTTTGTTAACTCTTTTCACCGTGGCAGGTTTTATTTTTAGTTGATCCAATTGATGAAGTTGCCATCCAGAACTTGAAATCATACAAAGAGAAAAACTTTGTTGACATTAGCAAGGAAGATTTGGATTTAGGTTAGTTTACTCGAACAATCTTGAGTTTATGTTTTTTAACTTTATCGGTATAGTCTTTTTTATTTTAGAACTTTTGTTTCAAAGTTTATTCAAGCACAATTTATTTCTGCATCCATGTACTAAATTGTTTTGATCCTCACTGGTAGTTGACTACTGAATACATGGACTGAAGATAAAACAATTTGACTGTACTGAATACATGGACTGATGATAAAACAATTTCAGGGTTAATTTATTAGTTTCCAGAACTAAGGATGATTACATTATGCCCATTTGTGCATTTCGCTTCCACATTGACCTTGCCTTCATTTCTAGTCTAGAAATGGAAAAAGGGAAATAATAACACTGTTATATGGTATGTTTTCAGGTGATAAGAATGAAGAGAAAGAGAAGGAAATGAAACAGGAGTTTGGCCAAACTTGTGATTGGATTAAGAAACGCTTGGGAGATAAAGTTGCCAATGTTCAGATATCAAGTCGCCTAAGTTCTTCACCCTGTGTTCTTGTCTCTGGGAAGTTTGGTTGGTCTGCCAACATGGAGAGGTAACTTACTGAGCCTCGCATGTTTAACCAAATAATATATATATCCTTTCAAGTGGCGTGCCTCATTCGTTTTTCTTTTCTAAGGTTGATGAAAGCACAAAGCGTTGGTGATACCTCGAGTTTGGACTTCATGAAAAGTAGAAGGGTGTTTGAAGTCAACCCAGAGCACCCAATTATTAAAAACCTGGATGTACGTAAGAGCATAGCTAAATTTATACATTCTTTTGCCAATTCATGTAAATTGACAGATTATGATCCACAGGCTGCATACAAGAGTAACCCCAACGATGAAGATGCTTTGAGAGCCATTGACCTTCTGTATGATGCCGCTTTAGTTTCTAGTGGCTTTACGGTAAACTCCACGTCCTCTATATATCGATATAACGTTGCACTATATGGTCACATATGGTTGTGTTTTGAACATATAAATCTATCCTTATGCTGGCATTGGCTGCAAGATTTAAGCACTGCTCACAAAATGATTGTATCGATCTTTAAAGATCGGTAGCTCTAGCCATGCTCTCATTTTGTGCCATTCTAAATGTGTTCATTCTGTTGTTGATGCAGCCTGATAACCCGGCCCAGCTTGGTGGTAAGATATATGAGATGATGGGTATGGCACTTTCTGGCAAGTGGTCCGGGCCGAGCGGGTTCCATAACCAGGGGGCTCAATCGCAGCCATTAGAAGCAGAAGTAGTTGAACCAGTCGAAGCTGGCAGCCAAAAGTGAGTACTCGATATCGGAGGATTCCGTATTAGGAGTTCGAGAAATTTTGTCCATAAAGTTCGTTGGATGACGGAGAGAATAGTGTTCTGGGATTGATTGATGATTTACTACAATTCCGTTCCAGACTGAAATCAGTTGGTCTCGTTTGTTTAATCGATTTCTCTTCTACCGAAATGCTTTAAAGTATTGTCATCTATTCAAATATTGTTTAGAACCTTACAGGGATTAGGCACAGGACTATACCAATAATTTGAACTTGCATTGTTAAGAGCTTTGACCAGGAAACTAGACAAGTATTGTAAGCTTGTTGGATCATGAAAGTCACTGTGCTGCCGTCACAGTTTTTAGGATTAGTTCTTGAAATTGTAGCTGATTGCTGCATCCCCACGTAAGTCTTAGATCTTAAGCTATTGTCTGATTTTAGTGCAAATTCAATTTAACTTTTGAACTTTTTTTCCTTAATTATTATTATTTTTGTATTTACTTCTTGGGTTTACATCTCATTATGGTAAGTTTTATGATTAACTGTTCTTTTACTCTCAATATAATCTATTTTCTTACCTTTTAAAAAATGTTTATTTTAATATTTGCATTTTGGACTTCTTTATTCAGTTTAGTAAAAAATTTAAATATATTATATATTTTTTTATGGTTTGTAAAGTCTTAATATAAATAGGTTAGTGTAAATAAAGTTTTACGTTAACTGTAATTAATAACAATTTTCTGAAGATCTTGGTGGAGATTGCGTTGAATTTTGGCCGTTAGGATAATTTACTCGACGCCGTCACGTTTGCGTGTTTGAATGTTCATCTTGAGGGGGTCAAACCCAAAACCCAGTGCGTCGGGGTTTCGTCGGCTTTTGACTTTTATTTCCATTGGTGAAGAGCGTGGACTACGTTTCTTTTGGCGTAGGGTACAGAATTCAATTTTGGAATCGCGTGTTTTTGTTCTCGTTTTCGCGGAATCCTCTTGACTTTCATCCTCCTGTTCCCTCTTCTTTCCTTGCCTACAGAAACGCTCAGCTCTCGACTGCTTCTGTTTGTACTGATTGGCCCAGGTACGTGGTTTATTTAGAGCGAAATTTTAGTGTTCTTCCTGTTTTTGAGTGTCTAATTACCGGCTGGAACAATGATTTCTTGTTTAGAAGCATTGGGGTGTTTGTGTCTCTGTATATGCCTTTCGTTGTTGCTCTCTGACCCTTTTGGCCCTGTTTACTTTTGTTGCCTCGATATAATTAAATCCATCGCGTTACTTTGCTTTTCTGCTATCGCGTTTTGATTTGCTTGACTGATTCCAGTGATGGTGAATTGGGTTTCTTTTGTTCTTCGCTTTTGTGTCGAAGAAAAGTTACTTTGTGATATTAGCGGAATGATTCGGGATGGATGGGGGTGTTTTTGTTTCTGTTGTTGATTAATTGCAGAATGTCATGTCCATTTCTAAGAAGCTTTAAGTTGCGGAATCCAAGGTATTTTTTGAGCTGTTATCCTGTTGAGGATTGTTGGGACTCGTTAAGGGGTTCATCGTGGGTTTGTAAGTAAGGAATACATCTTCATTGGTATCAAGCTTTTTGGAGAAACCAAAAGTAAAACCATAAGAATTTATGCTCAAAGTGGACAATATCATACTATTGTGGCGAGTCGTGGTTCCTAACTTGCTATCAGAGTCATACCCTTAACCTAGCCATTTCAATAGAATCCTCAAATGTTGAACAAGAAGTTGTGAGCCTCGAAGGGTGTACTTTGTTCGAGGGGAGGATTGTTGAGGGGGAGTCCCATGTCGGTTAATTAAGGGATTGATCATGGGTTTACAAGTAAGAAATACATCTCCATTGTTACGAGGTCTTTTGGGAAAACCAAAAGCAAAGCCATGAGAGCGTATACTCAAAGTTGACAATATCATACCATTATGGAGAGCCGTGGTTCCTAACAAATCGTTTATTAAAGTGTCATTTAAGTGCATAATATCTATAATCGATATTTATCCTGCAAACTTACAGGTATATGTCTTAATCAAAGCCAGTCTTTGTTTTAAGGATAATTGGAAATTGTTTCTCCGAGGGAATTATGTCTGTCTCTGACTTCCTATCTGTTCTGTTTTACTTTTATGTTTTCTGGAGGGTGTGGGGGTGGGTTTTCCCTCCCTTTCCCTTTAAACTCTGTTGGTTTTATTTGAGGTTCACTTTTCATGCTTCACTATGCACCGTTTTTACTGGAAGCACATATACATTTCTTTTCTCACATTACAACTTCAATCTCAGGTACTCACATCCAGCAACAGTCTGCATAGAAAATGCTGCTTCCACGTCAGCAATCACAGTCGAGCACGCCGCAAGCCTCATTTTCCCTAGTGTCAGCCGATGCGCGCATGCCTCAAGAGGAGCCTACATCCAATGCTGGCCAAGTTCAGGAGTCCCCCACGGAGAGTGCCAGTTCTAGGGAAACTTGGCCTAATGTTGAAGCTATGTTGGCAAAGAAGATGGAGAATGATAATGCTGAACACTCAGTTGTTCACCGTCTATCTAGTGCTGATAAGATATCCCTCAGGGACATTGCAAGGGAGAGAGTAGACATAATCTCCGAAAAGATGCATCATCTACCAGACGAATTTCTCGAAGAGTTGAAAACTGAGCTACGAGTTATTCTTGATGGTAATGGTGGTTCACAGCATAGAGAGGAGATTTTCCTTTTACAGAAGCTTGTTCAGAGTAGAACTGATTTAACTGATAAGACTCTACTTATAGCCAATCGAGCGCAACTCGAGATCCTAGTGGCAATAAATACTGGAATTCAGGCGTTCTTGCATCCAAATATTACCCTCCCGCAGAACACTCTAATTGAGATCTTTGTATACAAGAGGTGCAGGAACATAGCATGCCAAAACCAGCTCCCAGCTGACGACTGTACATGTGAGCTATGCTCCAAGAGAAATGGTTTCTGCAATCTTTGCATGTGTGTTATATGTAATAAGTTTGATTTTGAAGTTAATACTTGTCGTTGGATTGGCTGTGATCTGTGCTCCCATTGGACTCATACGGATTGTGCCATTCGTGATGGACAAATTTGCATGGGTTCATCTGGTAAGAGTGGAACTGGGCAATCTGAAATGCTTTTCAGGTGTCAAGCCTGCCATAGAACGTCAGAGCTGCTGGGTTGGGTTAAGGATGTTTTCCAGCACTGTGCACCTGCCTGGGACATGGAGGCTTTGACAAGGGAACTCGACTATGTTAGTAGAATATTTCGTGGAAGTGAGGACCTTAGAGGGAGGAAGCTTTTCAGGAATTGTGAAGATCTGAAGGAGAAAATGAAAAGTGGGGTTGTGGATTCTTCGATGGCATGCAGAACTATATTGGGATTTTTCCAAGGTAAAGAACTATACGTTTGTGTTTGAACTTGTGCTTATTTCTTGATCATACATTTGGAAGGTGGCTTAAGTGAAGGAACACACCCTTATAAAGAATGTTTCATTCTTCTCTCCAATCGATGTGGGATCTCACAATCCACCCCTAGTGTCCTCGTTGGTACTTGTTCCCTTTTCTAATCGATGTGGGACTCCTCCAATCCACCCCCCTTCCTGGCCTAGCGTCTTTGCTGGCACACTGCTTCGTGTCCACTTCCCTTCAGGGCTCAACCTCCTCTTTGGCACATCGCTTGATGTCCGTCTCTGATATCATTTGTAACGACTTAAGCCACTGTTAGTAGTAGATATTGTCTTCTTTGGGCTTTCCCTTATGAGCTTCCGTCAAGGTTTTAAAACGCGTATGTTAGGGAGAGGTTTCCACACCCTTATAAAGAATGTTTTGTTCTCCTCTCCAATCGATGTAGGATCTTACAGGAACATTGGACTATATTTGTTCCGTTCACGTAGAAAACCTACTCATATTGCTATGAAATTGATAAAAAGACACTCAAATGCATTATGTGGGGCTCAAGCTACATGTTTTCCCAGTCATTTTGCTCATTTGACTCAAAAGTAAATTCGTTCATATTCTATTATAATAAAACACCTATGTTTCTTGTTTCTCTTTATGAAGAACTTGAGTTGGACTCTCCAAGAAGCATGGAAAATGGGGAAGGAGGACGACTAGTAGCCCCACAGGAGGCATGCAGCCGCATTGCTGATGTAGTACAGGAAGCCATAAGAAAAATGGAAATAGTAGCCGACGAGAAGAAGAGGAGATTCAAAAAAGCACGAATGGATGTCGAGGCATTCGAGCGCGAGGTCGAGGACAAAACCAGGGAAGCAGCAGAACTAAAGCTGGAGAAACAGAGAAAGAAGCTGCAGATTGAAGAGCTGGAGAAAATTGTGAGACTTAAACTGGCAGAAGCAGACATGTTCCAACTTAAGGCCAATGAGGCAAAACGAGAGGCTGATAGGCTCCAGATGATTGCTCTTGCCAAATCTGAAAAATCTGAAGAAGACTTTGCTAGCAGCTACCTAAAACAGCGGTTAAAAGAGGCTGAAGCAGAGAAACAGTATTTGTTAGAGAAGATTAAACTGCAGGAAAGTTTCCGTTCACCGAGCAGCGGTGGAGCAGATCAGTCCTAAATCCTTGCATAGTTTCGAAACATCGTTCTATATCGTACTGCATCCTCTCATAGTCACACAAGCTAAGTGATGGTCGTTGAAGTTGCCTTAAAGTTGACTTGAATTACCCATGTTTCTGTTGTGGGGGACTGTATGTTGTCGGTTTTTGTTGTCTGTTGATCATTGTTAGATATGAAGGGATTCTATAATGGTGTAAGTAAGCGCTGGTGATCCTGGAGTTCATGTAGTGAGCACTGAGATTGTGTAGGGTAATGATCTGCCAAAAGAGAGAAACAAAAGCAGCAGGCATGTTAAAGAGATTAGACGCAACTTTGAATGGACAGATCTTGCTTTAGTTGCTTGTCGGTCCTTGTCCTTTTTAGGAGTGCTCTCTAATGGATCCCACTTCCAATATTGCAGCAATCAATTGAGCAGTAGAACTGTATGATTTGGAGATGCTATTGGTCTGAGTGGAGTCTACAATTAGTTCTTGATTGCTTGACTTAAAGGCTGCGTTCAGAAAGCTTAACTCAGTTCTTCCTTGGACCAGAAAACAGATAATTGCAAACATGTCCAGGTTTGTAGTTTTAACTTCTTTCGTCTCTTTTTACTCTTTACCATTAGGAACGGTTCAAACCAATTGCTAGTAGATATTATCCGTTTTGGCCTGTTATGTATTGTCGTCAACCTCACGGTTTTAAAATACATCTACTAAGAATAGGTTACCACACTGATGTGGGATCTCACAATCCACCTCCCTTGAGGGTGGCCTCCTTGCTTGCACACTCTTTGGTGTCTAACCCACTGCTAGTAGATATTATCCGTTTTGGCCTATTACGTATTGTAGTCAGCCTCACAGTTTTAAAACGCGTCTGCTAGGGAGAGATTACCATACCCTTTTTCGTTCCCCTCTCCAACCAACCGATGTGGGATTTTACAATCCACCCCTTTGTAATGGCCCAAACTCACTACTAATAGATATTATCTACTTTGATTCGTTAAGTACTGCCGTTAGTCTCACAGTTTTAGAACATATCTAGTAGGAAGAGGTTATCAGACTTTTGTAAAGGAATATTTCATTCCCCTCTCCAACCAACGCTCCCACAACCTGCCTATAGGACTTTGATTGATTCAATCTTCTGAAAACAATCCTTCAAAAAACCTCCTAAAGGTGGCATTCACATTTGAGTTAGGTGCATGAGACTTGGTAAAGTGATAATGCAGGAAATCACATCAAATAACAAAGTTCTAAGTTTCAAACTTATAAGGCCTTGTTAGGACAAAATTGAGCAAGGATGTATGGCCTGCCCATAAATCGGGATCCGACCCAACCCAATCCAAAAAGACTTCATCTTGAGGATTACACATTGGAAAGATGAAGATATCTCACGATTTCTATGATGGTATCAGAGCTCATAAAACCCAAATGAATATTCAATTAGAACGATAAACTCAAAAGAGACCCATCGATACGTTGAGGGATGTTTTGGGCTAAACAAATGTATTTGAAGTAAATGTGGGGGAATCTAGTAAAGTAGGGTTGAGAGGCATATTAGCAATATTTATTCTAATTGGGTATCATAGAATACCATTAGAGATACATAGGCTTTAACTCAAAGTGAGCTCTATAAAGATTTCTTTTGTTTTTTTAGAGCAATCTAATCCAATGAACAACTTAACATAGTTTGAGAGAGATATGAATATAATCTTATCTTCTTCCCCATTGCCTCCACCAATCTCTAGTTGATCACATGGAATAACAACTATGGATTACTATTTATTAGAGTGAAAGAGAGAAATCTTGTTTGATTCTTAGATCTTCTTCCTTTGATTCAAGCAAGCAAGAGGAAACCCATTGTTCTTTGTTTGTTTGTAGGGAAATTAATTGGATTTTTGAAGAATAGAGAAACCAAAAAAGGGTGTATCAAGGTTCGATATTGTCTGCTTTGACCTGTTACGTATCATTATTAGCTTTACTAGGAGAGATTTTTACACCCTTATAAAGGAATGCTTCGTTCCCCTTTCCAACCAACGTGGGATCTCACAGTCCACCCCTTTCAGGGCTCAGCATCTTTATTGGCACATCATCTCGTGTTTGGCTTTGATACCATTTGTAATAGCCCTAACTCCCCTCTCTAACCAATGTGACAGTCCACCTCCTTTTAGGGCTTAGCATTCTCGCTGGCACATCGTCCAGTGTCTAGCTTTGATCAAGTCCACTACTAGCAGATATTGTCCACTTTCGCCCATTACGTATCATCATCAATCTCACGGTTTTGAAATGCGTCTGCTAGGGAGAGGTTTCCTCATGGTTTTAAAAAGATTGATGTCGATGAGTTATAAAATGTTGTTGAGTGGGTTTAAAAGTAAATAGTTGTTTATGTTGATGGCAATGGAGGAAGCTCCATTGATATTAGATTGAAGTAGACAGACATGTAAGGATTATTGAACTCATATCTAATGCCTCAATAGATAATCAAATCACCCACTTTCAATGGTTTATGAAGCACTTCTTCAACAACTTTTAAAAGGCAACAAAATGAAGAGATGGGAAGAAGAAAAAAACAAATACAACTTTTACTTTTCTCACTACTCAAGAAATTTCATCGTCCCCTTATCACTAGAGTTCATCGTTTAATTCACGTGGTTTAGCCTTGTAAACACTTATCGTCATAGAAGAGAATTGAAAGAATTTTCTTTCCGTTAATTAAATGAGGATGGACGGAGATGATTAGATTTCCTATCCCTTCTTTGTCTTGCTCCAATTATTTATTTATTGCGGTGTAATATTGAAATTAAAATTTTTAAAAATTAGCTTCGTGAAGTATTATAATTATGTTCTTCGTGAAGTATTATAATTATGTTCTTGTTCATCCAATATTATTATACGTTCTAAATATTCTATATTCTTTTCTTTTAAAAAGTTAGGTTTATAATTATCCATATAGATTTTTTAAAAAGAAAGAAATATTGATATGTTTTCGACCTTTATTTATTTGTTCGAACTAAAATGATAATTTTTTTAAAAAAATTTGTAGGATATTAATTGTTGTTGTTATGTTTAATCCAATTAAAGTTATTTAGAGGAGAAAGTCATATTAAAAGGAAATTTGATTATTCTTTATTTAATTCATAACTTTATACAAAACAATGTTTTTATTTATTTTAACTAAGGTTAGAAAATATAGAATAACTCCCTTTTATTTATGTCCAAATTCAAATATTTTTAAAAAATGTTCTTAAAAACTAAAAGGAATTTATACATTTAACTAAAGGGCTCGGAGACTAGATCGTTTGTGTCTGTCTCCATAACCACAAAGATTACTTTTCTCTTTTTTTTTTTATGGGACCTGTTCCTGCCCAGATATGTTTTTTTTTATATTAAAAATATTTAAAGTAATTTAAAACAAATTAATTTAAGCCCTTGATAAAAAAAAAAAAAAAAAAAGAAAAAGCTTACGCGAACTTAAAATATTCGTTTATTTGTTTGATTTTAAGATCGATATTCCAATATATAATTTATCTTTTTATTATTTTTGGGAGGGCAGTGGGGGCAGGGGTAGAGGAAGTAATTTGGAAGCTAGAAGAGGGGTAAAAAAGGGAAATAGACAATTTTGGACATTCGTCGCGTAGTAAAGTGTGGGGCCGCCTCTTTTGTTTTTTTTTTTTATCCCAAAAAAAAGAAGAAAAGAAATAAAAATAAATAGCGAAAAGGTAGGACCCACCAATGATGATGACGTGTCAACCAGCTACGCGCCGCTCCCCTGCCTCTTATTTTTCTGCTTTGAGGTTTTGTTTTGTCGTATTTGGGGAAGTTCAGGATTTGTGTTAGTGTTCGTGTCAAATAGCAAGCTGTCGTGGGCCCCACTTACTTTTTAATAAAATAAATTTAATTTAATTTTTTTTTTTAAATGAAAGATGCAAAATACTTATTCCTTCATTTATATATATTTTTAATACTTACTTAAAAAAATTCCATATCAACATTTGAACTTTACTTGCTTTTAACAAAAATTAATATTATTTTAAGGAAAAAAAATTAAAATTCATATATATATATATATTTGATTATTGGGAGAATATGTGATAAGGTTAGTGGTGGGATCATAAATGGTTCAATTATTATTATTATTATTATTATTATTATTTTGAAAATAAAAATGTTTGTATTTGGTTCATAATTTGGACTGAGTTTTGAAGTTTGAGAAGTGAAAAAGGAAAAAGAAATGGAGCAATAATTTATTTTATTTTATTTTATTTATACATAAAAAAAATAAAAACAATAATGGATCCAATTGAGATTACTTGTAAACAAAACTGCATGGTCCCACTTCTCCTTTATTTTCAGCCTATCATATGTAGTTTTATTTATTTATTATTATTTTTTTGAATTAGTGACTATTTTTTTTTAATTACAAAATATAAATATCATTGCCAAAAAAAAAAAAAACTTATACATAAAAATTAATTTAAAAATATAATTTACAAATCCACATCTAACCTACCATGTTTGTTTTGGGTTTTCATTTTCAGACTTTTTCTCAAAACGGTAAGAGGTTTCTAAACCTTATAAGAAATGTTTCGTTCCTCTCTCCAACCAATATGGGATCTCACAATCCACACTCCTTGGAGACGCAACGTTCTCGCTGACACACCTCCCAGTGTCTGGTTATGATACCATTTGTAACAGCCTAAGCTCACAGCCAGTAGATATTATGATTTTTTGGATTCCCAGCAAGGAGAGATTGAAATGTCTTATATTGAAATTTTAAGTTTTTTCGGAGTAAAAATAATAAAATAATGATTTTATTTATATGTTTAAAAAAAAAAGGGAAGAAGAATGTGAATACGAAGAGATTAGGGGTCATTTTATTATTGTAGTTTTCTTTTTTGTGGTTGAAAATTGAAATTTGAATAAAAAAAGGAAGAAATAAAATTCCCAAAATTGACCCACACAAAAGCTGAAATTTCTTTTGAGCCACTGAAAGTGGACCAAATTGCAATTAATAAAATTGTTTAATTGAAGCTGTTCCATTTATTCTCCGAACACAATATTTCTTGGAATTTCGTATTCAGGACTGACACAAATGTCACATGCAAAGTAGACATTAACAAAATTTAAAATATTAAACCTAACATGACATTATTAATATATCATAATACCTTAATTTATAAGGTCAAATATTATCTTAATCCCACTACATAAAGTGAGACATGTTTTATAAGGTTGTCCAAATACCCTAAACTCCAATGTTAAATTTAAATAAATAAAATATATTATTTATTCTTTTTATTTCTTTTATAACTGATTTTGATATATCAACCACCATAACCAAACAAAAACTTGATTTTTTTTTATTTATATTGAAATTCATGGGATAAATTATATAAATTAGATCAAATAAAAATAAAATAAGGCAATTTATTTATTTATTTTTTGAATATTAAAAAGTTGGTGGGTTTTGTTATTCATTTATTCCCACGTGAAATTAATTAGTTTTTATATATTCAGATTAATTTTTTTTGTTCGAGAATATATGTCCCAATCAATTTGTTCATATGAGCGGCACTCAACATAGAATTACTCAAAATAAAATATGGTTAATTATGAAGGTACCCTGTGTTGGTATAGATATTAATATTCATTTAAGTCTTTTCTAGTCATTCTATTATGGGACGTAGTTTATGTTCATTCATGTATTTCTCTTTTACTGGATTCATTCTCGAACCATATTTTATTAGAAGGAGTACTACTCGAATACTATTTGTAACGTCCCATACCCAGAATCTGGATTCTGAATCGGAGTTAAACGGTTAAATGTTTTATTATACCGTCTTGAATCTTAAATAGCTAATCGAGTGGGTTTGGTAGGGTAGTTCCAGTTCAATTTTAAAGACTACGAATTTGAATATGAATCTAGTGAGAAAAAGAGAGATTGGTTGAATTATAATTGATGAGAGAACTAAAAGTGTGAATCTGTAAGCCTGCAGAGTGCAGCGGTAGAATACAAATTCCATCATCTTTAATCACTGGATGGTGCGGTCTCTTTCAAGTCTTTGCAAAGTAAAAGTGAAAAATAATGCAGAAGGACGAACAATAAGAGGTTGGGTGGAGGACTGAAAATGGCTTGCTTAGCTGCTGTGGCCTAGCTGAGCTTTCACTCAGCTAAAAAGCAACCCAAAATTCCACAACCCATTTGGAGAAACTTTGCCAAAGTCGAGGGGATTCTCTGCTTCTCTCTCTCTCCCTCTCTCTGTTGTTCTTAAAGTTCAATTAATTAATCTGTTCTTGAGAGGGTTGATTTTGATCATAGCTTTTGTTTGCTTTTGCTTAACGTTCTTCACTGGATGATGAGATAATGATGTACCCACTTTGAGATAGAGAACAGGAGAGAGAAAGAGAGATAGAGAGATAGAGAGAGAGGGTTTTACCCCTTTTTTCTTCCCCCACTATCTGATCATTGATTCCAGTTGTTATAATTATGGAGGAACCATCTGGGTTTAACCTTCGTTGAATGAAAATTCCCCCCATTCCCTTTCATCTTCCCCACCATCTTATCATTGATTCCAGTTAAATTCAGGCAGGAGCCAACCCGATTGTTCTACCCCATTCACGAAAAAGCAGAGCAAAAAGAGAAGAAAACCCAGATGTTAGAGGAAAAGGGGCAATACTTCTCCCGCCACTTTACTTGTTCACGTAATCCTTACTAAAATAACGACTGGGTTGTATCCAGTTTGTTGCCAACATGATTCGTTCGAAGCTTTTGGTCGATTAACGCCAGTGGTTTCCGGATTCAAGGGAAGAACAGGGTTCTTTGTTCTTGTTCTTGTTCTTTTTTCAAGCGGATTCTTAATGGGTTTGTGAAGAATCGATGGTATTTCTTTAATTTGTGTTGATTCTAGTTCAATTTGTGTTGTCGTGTTCGGTAGAGGAGTTTTATGTGGTGGGGTTGGTTTGGCGGAGCTGGGGCTTTCTCAAGCTCTTAAGGTTGTTTACTTAGGATGTCTTTGAACTGCAAGTTTTCTATCTTTAATGGTAAGTTTCCAGCTGGGTTTAAGCTGAAGAAGGCTAAGGAACATCTATGTTTGTTAAATTCCACCGGAAAATGGAAGAAGAAGCTGTTCTGTCTTTGGATTTTTACTGTAGTTTTAGCTTTGGGCAGCTGGTTTTCCTTGCGTTCGTGTAATGTAAATAGTGGAACAAAACAGCAAATCTCGAACTTGTTCGATGAAGAAACTCAAACTTTGATGCGGCATTTCAATGTAAGCAAGAATCAGATTCAAGCTTTGACTGCCTTGTTATCTGAATCAGATCGGGTAAGCTTTCTTGCAGTTCAATTCTTTGGGATCCAATGATTATTGCTGAAGTTGTGTGCCATAAACAACATTGTTCTTTTTCTTCTTTGAGTATTTATTTTCAACTTTGGAGTTGGGACAATGTAAAAGGCTTAGGAATTGTCGAATTGATGATCTGAGGCAGGCTGTATTAGACTATTTGAACGAATTCATCAATTTTAAGTGAGGTAGAAATCATTGATATTCACTTCCAAGTTAGGAAACATCACGCTTGATGTGTTGTGCAATTTGTAAACCTGTTCATTTGTGAGATCCCACCTCGGTTGGAGAGGGGAACGAAACATTCCTTGTAAGGGCGTGGAAACCTCTCCCTAGTAGATGTGTTTTAAAAACCGTGAGGCTGATGGTGATACGTAACGGGCTAAAATGGACAATATCTGTTAGCGGTTACAAATGGTATTAGAGCTAGACACTAGGCGGTGTGCCAGCAAGGACGCTGGCCCCCAAAGGGAGTGGATTGAGAGATCCCACATCGGTTGGAGAGGGGAACGAAACATTCCTTACAAGGGTGTGGAAACCTCTCCCTAGTAGACGCGTTTTAAAACCATGAGGCGGACGGTGATACGTAACGGGCTAAAACGAACACTATCTGTTAGTGGTGGGCTTGTGCTGTTACAAATGGTATTAGAGCTAGACAACGGGCGTGTGTCAACGAGGATGCTGAGCTCCCAGGGGGTGGATTGTGAGATCCACATCGATTGGAGAGAGGAACGAAACATTCCTTATAAGGGTGTGGAAACCTCTTCCTAGTAGACGCATTTTAAAATCGTGAGGCTGACGACGATACGTTATCTGTTAGCGGTGGGCTTGTGCTGTTACACTATTACATAGGATATAATCATATTGCCAGTTCTGTCTTCGTAAACATACACCGTGAATGTGCCTCATGTCATTCCCAGTTCATGTAACAGGAGGACGATTAGAGAATAACTGCGTTAAAAAAGTTTACATTATCATGTTTGTTGCAGATGACATCCATGGGGTGCATCAATGATTTTGGATCGGACAAATCACAGTTGGATGGAATTGCCTGTGCCCTGAGGTCACTGTACTGGGAGCAAGATTTGCACAAGCAGCATGTATGGGTTGAGGGAAGTGCAGATTCCAATGTTGGGCAGTGCCCAATTCGAACTGAGAAGGTCCCTGAAAATTCTGAACAATTATTCTCTGAGGACATAACTGTTCCATATGCTACAGACTTATCTGTCTCTTTACTTTCTTCTGGAAATCAGCTCTGTGGAAAGGTAGATAAGTTTTATATTGGAATTAGTAAATGTAGTTTTCTGATCTTGAAAACTTCATCTTTCACAAACAGCAACACTTGAAGATCTATTATTTTAAACTTATGATCGTTATTCTGTGAGATTCCACGTCGGTTGGGGAGGAGAACGAAACATTCTTTATAAGGGTGTGGAAACCCCTCTTTAGTAGACGCGTTTTAAAAACCTTGAGTAGAAGTTCGAAAGGGAAAGCCCAAAGAGGACAATATCTGCTAGCGGTGGGCTTAGGCTGTTACAAATGGTCAGAGCCAGACACCGGGCGACATGCCAGCGAGGAGGCTGAGCCTTGAAGGGGGGTGAACACGAGGCGGTGTGCTAGCAAGGACGCTGGATCCTGAAAAAGGGTGGATTGTGAGATCCCACATCGGTTGGGATGAGAATGAAGCATTCTTTAAAAGAGTGTGGAAACCTCTCTCTAGTAGACGCGTTTTAAAAACCTCGAGGGGAAACCCGAAAGGGAGAGCCCTGGAAACCTCTCCCTAGCAGACACGTTTTAAAATCCTTGAGGGGAAGCTCCGAAAGGGAGAGCCCAAAGAGGACAATATCTGCTAGTGGTGGGCTTGGGCCGTTAGATACTCATTCTTGGAAGTTAATGTAGTACACCTTAGTTTATTTATTCATTTCTTTTTATCTTTTGATAATCGAATAAATGCATCCCGAATCTTTGAATTTTGATGACGATAAGCACAACTATTATTTAGTTTGGCAAATGCAAAAGATTTTTGAGTTGCTGACTAATCTTGGTTCTGGGCATTATCAGATAATTGAACAAACAGGAGTTCTAAGATACTTTATAAGAAAGCACTGGAAGGGTTTCTATAGTTTGTTGATTGGATGTTTTTCAGTCTTTCTTGGAGTGATATCATTCCAGAAAACATCTGGTTTCCATCTAAACTTGTGGAACAAAAAACATCCAAAGCCAAATCAGCCATTGGTTCATCCACAATGGGTCTTACAACGGAGAAAAAAGCATCAACAAGTCAGAGATTCTTCTAAAGGAGCAGGGAAATGGCGGAAGGTGCTCCTAAGAATATTTATTGTATTCGGAATAATCGGGTCCATATGGCTATTTTGGTACCTGAACAAGACAGCCATTTTGAGAAGAGAAGAAACACTTGCAAACATGTGTGATGAGCGAGCTCGGATGTTGCAGGACCAGTTTAATGTTAGCATGAACCATGTTCATGCATTGGCCGTTCTTACCTCGACGTTCCACCACGGAAAACAACCTTCAGCTATTAATCAGGCAATTTTCTTTCTCCTCTGTTGTGCAATATCTATACGAATATGAAAACTGAGTGATTTCAATAATCTTCATTGAAGAACAGTACTCATAATTCTTTTAAGCTTTAAGATTTTCAATTATCACGCATTTGATCTATTATAGTTTATTTGTGAATTCCTCTCTCAGAAAACATTTGGTGAGTATACAGAAAGAACATCCTTTGAAAGACCACTAACTAGTGGTGTAGCTTATGCTTTGAAAGTTAATCACTCGGAAAGAGAGCAATTTGAGAGGATGCATGGATGGACAATAAAGAAAATGGAGACAGAGGACCAAACTCTTGTTCAAGATTGTAACCCAGAAAATTTGGAGCCTGCACCAATTCAAGACGAATATGCACCTGTCATATTTTCTCAAGAAACGGTCGCTCATATAGTTTCTATCGACATGATGTCTGGAAAAGTAAGTACCCAGGGGGGTTTGTGTGTTGAATTCTCTTTTCTTGGTTCTCTACTCCTTAAATGAATTCTGTTATGCTGCTGTATTCACTTCTAGCTCGTTAGGAAGACGGTGATCGTATATGATTAACTTACTCTCGAGTTCCTTCGACCCTCTTATAATGGAGTGGACGTGTCATTATGCAAGCATAGTAAACGATTGGAGCACGGTTTTTGTATATTTCAGTCACTTCAATGACTTACTAATTCACGTAAATGCGTCCGTCTTGTAGGAAGATCGTGAGAACATATTGCGAGCTAGAGCTTCTGGAAAGGGAGTGCTTACATCTCCTTTTAAGCTTTTGAAATCTAATCACCTTGGAGTCGTCCTCACGTTTGCCGTCTATGACACTGACCTCCCACCAGATGCTACTCCTGAGCAACGTATCGAAGCTACTGTTGGGTAATTTTATTTCTCGAGAACTTCTTACTTTTGTGTGTGCTTTTCTTGAAAGTACTCTGTCATAGTTGACCAGCTGAACCTAATTGTCTTTCTTGTATTCATTTATTCACAAGTTATCTAGGTGCATCTTATGATATCCCCTCACTGGTGGAAAAGCTTCTGCATCAGCTTGCTAGTAAGCAGACAATTGTTGTGAACGTTTATGATACGACCAATCATTCCGCTCCCATTAATATGTATGGTTCGGATTTTTCCGATACTGGGCTACTGCATATTAGTAAACTTGATTTTGGGGATCCATTAAGAAGGCACGAGATGCATTGTAGGTAAGTCCTCACCTGACTTCATATCAGTATGGCTATTTATCTATATGAATTCTTTATCATGGAATTACTGTTGATTTCCCACGAGCTCAGAGCGTATACGTTGGTTACAGATTCAAGCATAAACCTCCACCTCCTTGGACAGCCATAAATTCATCGGTTGGCGTTCTTATCATTACCTTGCTGGTTGGGCATATTTTTCATGCAGCCATAAGTCGGATCGCAAAAGTGGAGAATGACTATCACGAGACGATGTGGCTTAAAAGTCTTGCCGAAGCTGCTGATGTCGCAAAATCACAGGTGCATGTTTAAAACTCCAGATATTGTAGAGCGTGCTTTCTCTCCCGAGTCGTCCTTATCTAGAGACACATCTTTCAACCTATACTGCATTACTGATGTATTGTCTTTTGCAGTTTCTGGCAACAATTTCCCATGAGATCAGAACACCAATGAATGGTGTTTTAGGTAACACGAATGCTATTAAATCGAGAAGTCGGTGCTATGAATCTTCTCATTTCTATCTTGCATAACGATTCTTAATTACTTTATATAGGCATGCTGAAATTACTGATGGACACTAACCTTGATCCGAATCAACTGGATTTTGCCCGGACTGCTCACGAGAGTGGAAAAGATCTGATATCTCTTATAAATAAGGTTCTTGATCAAGCTAAGATAGAATCAGGAAGGCTTGAACTTGAATCTGTACCTTTTGATCTGCGTGCTATACTTGATAATGTTCTCTCACCTTTCTCTCTCAAATCCAATGATATGGGAATTGAGGTAAATTGGTCAATTTATTTCCTTTGTTTCATTCTGTAAATTGGTTTTTGGTGTTATTTTCCTTATGTGAAACTGCTTTTGTCCTCCCTTGCATGTGAAGTTGGCTGTTTATGTCTCTGATTTGGTGCCTGAAGTTGTCATCGGTGACCCTGGACGTTTTCGTCAAATAATTACTCATCTCGTTGGAAACTCGGTCAAGGTTAGATTTTATCTATACAGCTACTTTGCTTTCTTTATCATCTGTAAGCCTCATTGACGCTGAATGACTAAATAGAACAACATTCTTTTGCTCATTTTTGACCACTTGTTTTTGTTCTTCTTTTGAAATTTGTTGATTTTGATGTTTCTTGTGAGATCTCATGTTGGTTGGGGAAGAGAACAAAACATCTTTTATAAGGGTTTGGAAACCTTTCCCTAGCAGACGCGTTTTAAAAACCTTGAGGGGAAGCCCGAAAAGGAAAACTCAAAGAAGATAATATTTGCTAGTGGTGGGCCTCAGCCGTTACAATGGTATCAGAGCCAAACACCGGACAATGTGCCAGCGAGGAGGCTGTTCCCCGAAGGGGGGTACAACACGAGGCAGTGTGCCAGTAAGGACGATGGGCCCCGAAGGGGGGTGGATTTGGTAGGGGTCCCACATCGATTGGAGAAAGGAACGAATGCCAGCGGGGACGTTGGGCCCTGAAGGGGGGTGGATTGTGAGATCCCACATCAATTGGGGAGGAGAACGAAACACCCTTTATAAGGGTGTGGAGACTTTTCCCTAGCTGTGGGCCTAGGCCGTTACATTTCTAGTTCCTGACATTACCCTGTTTTACATGTTTCTCAATACTTGAACATGGATTGTGTAAATTTGCACGGCAGACGTGCGAGTAGAGGTTGTTATACATGATGTTTCAAGGATTCCTTGTTTGATATTGTTACCATTTGCAAAATCCTCACGGGTGTTCGCCAAAAATCTGTCGATCTTTTTCAACTGACGCTACGTATGCTACAACAATGCTATAGTGTTATGTTCTTTAGAGCAATGATATTTTTGTTAGGAACTACGGCTCTCTATAATGGTATGATATTGTCCACTTTGAGCATAAGTTCTCATGACTTTGCTTTTCTTTTCCTAAAAGGCCTTGTACCAATGGAGATGTATTTCTTACTTATAAACCCATGATCATCCTCTTAATTAGCCAATGTGGGACTCCCTCCTAACAATCCTCAACAATCCTCCTCTCGAACAAAATACACCATAGAGCCTCTCTTGAGGCCTATAAAGCCCTTGAACAGCCTCCTCTTAATTGAGACTCAACACCTTTCTCTGAAACCCTTGAACAAAGTACACTCTTTGTTCGACACTGGAGTCATTTTTTTACCACATTTTATAAACTCACAACTTCTTTGTTTGACATTTGAGGATTCTATTGACATGACTAAGTTAAGGGCATGACTCTGATACCATGTTAGAAATCACAAACCTCTACAATGATATGATATGTCCACTTTGAGTATAAGCTCTCGTGCCTTTGCTTTTGGTTTCCCCAAAAGGCCTCATACCTAGAGGTGTATTCCTTACTTATAAACCCATTATCATTCTCTTAATTAGCCAATCTGGGACGCCTTCCCGACAATCATCAACAATCTTTGCCTCTTAGTCTAGCATCATTAGTCGGTCTTCAAGAGTGACTGTTTCTTTTATTGAAATGAGATTTTGATTCAAGAGTTAACAATGAGCTTAAAGTTTTTTGTTATGTTGGTCGACATGAAGCCCATTATTCAACCATGTATCCTGTTCAAAATCGTGATGCCAATTTAACTTACATTTTGATGATGCCAAATTTATCCTGTTTGAATGCAGTTTACTCATAAAAAGGGACACATATTAGTCTCAGTGCATCTGGCTGATGAAGTGAGAGGCCCAGTTGATTTTATGGACATTGTGCTTAGACAAGGCACGTACTTAGCTGGAGATGCATCAAAGAATGGTTCTACTACATTCAGTGGGTTACCTGTGGTGAATAGATGGAAAAGCTGGGAGGATTTCAAAAAGTTCAGCAATACAAATGCGGTGGAGGAACCCAAAACTATTAAAATACTCGTGACCGTTGAGGATACAGGTGTAGGAATTCCCCGAAAAGCACAAAGCCGAATTTTCACTTCTTTTATGCAGGCTGATAGTTCCACTTCACGGATATATGGTGGCACTGGAATAGGATTGAGTATTAGCAAACGTTTGGTCGATCTCATGGATGGGGAGATCGGGTTTGTGAGTGAGCCTGGTATAGGTAGCACGTTTTCATTTACGGTTTCTTTTCAGAAAGGGGAAACAAATTTTCTGGATACGAAACGGTCACAGTTTGATCTCGGTGTTATGGAGTTCCAGGGGCTAAGAGCTTTAATAATAGATAATAGCTGCATTCGAGCTGAGGTCACGAGATATCATCTGCAGAGGCTCGGGATTTCTGTTGATATAGCTCTGAGTGCAGAATCTGCTTATCAGTATTTATCTAATACTTCCAACACAAGGTAACTTTTATTAGTTTTGTTCATCTTGAGTGTCAAACTTTACTAATGCATTTTAATTTTCGAAATCAACAGAGTATCGACACAATTAGCCATGATTCTTATAGACAAAGATATTTGGGACAAGAAAGTGGGTCTGAAGTTCCATCTTCTGTTTAAAGAGCACGTTGATAGAAGTGTGACAAATCTCCAGATGAATACTCCAAAGCTTTTTCTTTTGGCGAACCCCATTAGCTCCAATGAGCTGAATGAACTTAAATCTTCAGGTCATGTAAATAATGTATTGATTAAACCTCTTCAGCTAAACATGTTGGTTAGTTGCTTCCACGAAGCGTTTGGGATTGAGAAGCGGAATCAAGTAGTAATTAAAAGACCTTCTACTCTTAAGAACCTGCTGAAAGACAAGCATATTTTGGTTGTGGATGACAATGCGGTTAACAGAAGGGTGGCAGAAGGTGCCTTGAAGAAATATGGAGCTGTTGTAACTTGTGTAGAATGTGGAAAGGATGCGGTGGCTCTCCTCGACCCTCCACACGACTTTGATGCTTGTTTCATGGACCTCCAGATGCCTGAGATGAATGGGTAATTATCTTCGTGCTTTTTAATGAATTTGCTTTATAATCACTTAGCGCATTGCCTTGAAATAGCCACGCATACGCATGTGAGATTCCACCTCGGTTGGAGAGGGGAACAAAACATTCCTTATAAGGGTGTGGAAATCTCTCCCTAGCAGACGCATTTTAAAATCGTGAGGCTGATAGTAATACGTAACAGGCCAAGGCGGACAATATCTTTTAGTGGTGGGCTTGGGTTGTTACAAATGGTATTAGAGCCAGACACCGAGTGGTGTGCCAGTGAGGGCGTTGGGCCCCCAAGGGGGTGGGTTATGAGATCCCATATTAGTTGGAGAGGGGAACAAAGCATTCCTTATAAGGGTGTGGAAACCTCTCCCTAATAGACTTGTTTTAAAACCGTGAGGCTGACGACGATATATAACAGGCCAAAGCGGACAATATCTGCTAGCGGTGGGCTTGAACTGTTACAAATGGTATCAGAGCCAGACATCGGGCAGTGTGCCAGTGAGGACGCTGGGCCCCAAGAGGGGTGGGTTGTGAGATCCCACATCGGTTGGAGGGGGAAACAAAGCATTCCTTATAAGGAAGTGGAAACCTCTCCCTAATAGACACGTCTTAAAATCGTGAGGCTAACGGCGATACATAACAGGCCAAAACGGACAATATCTACTAACGGTGGGCTTGGGCTGTTACAAATAGTATCAGAGCCAGACACCGGGCAGTGTACCAACGTCTTCAGCGAAGACGCTGGGCCCCCAAGGGAGGTGGGTTGTGAGATCCCACATCGGTTGGAGAGGGGAACAAAGCATTTCTTATAAGGGTGTGAAGACCTCTCCCTAACAGACGCGTTTTTAAAACCGTGAGGCTGATGGCGATACATAACGGGCCAAAGCGGACAATATCTGCTAGCATAGGACTTGGGCTCTTATAACACATCACATTCTTTGTCATTGTATTGCCAAGAATACTGCAATAGGTTTCTAGAACTAGTATGGTTACTTCTTTTTTCAGCTGCCTAATTTGAGCAATTTAGTTCTCATCATTTGTTTCACCTAGCTGGTTCGACAAGGAGACACTCACTTAAACTAACAAATGAGCACGTCATTCTCGTATTAAGGAAAAAAAAGGCAAATTTCCTAGTAGACTTATGTTCACTTGCTGTAACCATGATGTGTATCACATATTACATACACAGGTTTGAAGCTACAAGACAGGTCCGTGCTGTAGAAAGAGGGGTAAACGAGAAACTTACATCAGGAGAAGTGTCAACTGAGGACAATAAGGTTTATTGGCACACACCAATATTTGCTATGACGGCAGATTTAATTCAGTCTCTGTATGAACAATGCCTGAAGTGTGGGATGGATGGTTATGTAGCTAAGCCATTTGAAGAAGAGCAACTTTATTCAGCTCTAGCATGCTATTTCAAGACTACTTGACACAGTACCGACGCAGCGACAATAACTGTTTCTTACTTCTCTGACCAAAGGGACACGTCTCGTGTGGTAGGACGATGGCTAGCTGGTGGATGGAGTTATCTGGTCACATCCTTCTCATCTTTTACTTTGTGGTAAAATTCCGCGTTCTTTGAATCTTTTCCATTGTTCATTCACCATCTAAACGATTTCTTCTTTGTTATTTGTTTCAGGAATGACAACCACGATTCGGTAGTCTTAGCAATGGCGTACAGGAAAAGCGAGCAAACGATGCATAATCCATAGTTTTGCGTTTCATCGTCTCCTGCCAACGGCCATAAACTAACTAATGGCATCCGCCCTTGACTTCTCGTTAGTAAGTGCTTCCTTTTCGTTTTCGATTTGCCTAAGAAAGGCTGCATGATTTACACAATTCCTTATCTTGACATAGGTAGACTCAAATGTTATGATTTGCCAAACTCACTCATTTATGAACCCTGATGACATTTCATCTCATCCGAGATGGCTTATCGAAATCATCCCTCATACTGCATAGGGGAAGATAAAATCTTCACAATTTATCGAGATTTTCCGAGCTGACTACGAATTATTCAACATTTTTCATTAGCTGTATGTAGTCTGACAGATTTAACAAAGTAGGAACGATGTCGAATAATCAGAAACGCCCGAAACCCCATTTGAAGGAAGGTGTGCTGCTGTTTCCAAGTACTTAGATTTGAAAAATATTGTATATTCCCATGTATACAACAATTTGTCTTAAGTTATGTAGTTGCTGTTGTTACTTATGCAATGTTCTGTTCTGTTGTATATTTGTACATCATTTCTGTAAGCCTGCAATGTAGCAAAAGAGTAGTAGATGATCACTTTTATTGCATCTTCAACTTGAGTTATGCTTCTCTTTTATTTGTTTTACTTTTATGTCTAATCTGAGAAAGGGTTCGTCTGGTAACTGCCCAAGTCCATTGCTAGTAGATATTGTCCTTTTTAGGTTTTTTCTTTCGAATTTTCTCTCAAGATTTTTAAACGCGTCTACTAGGGAGAGATTTCCACACCCTTATAAAGAATGCTTCGTTCTACTAGTTGAGGTAAGATCTCACAATCCACCCTCTTTGAGGCTCAGCATCATCGCTAGCACTCCTTCCTTTCTCCAATCGATGTGAGACCCCCCCCTCCTCCAATCCTCTCCCTTCAAGGCCCAGTGTCCTCGTTGACATACCACTTCGTGTCCACCGTCCTTCAGGGCTTAGCCTCTTCATTGGCACATCGTTCGATGTCTGGCTCTGATATCATTTGTAACAACTCAAGCTCATTGCTAGCAGATATTGTTCTCTTCTTTCCCTTTCGGACTTCCCCTCAAGTTTTAAAACGTGTTTGTTAGGGAGATGTTTCCACACCTTTATAAAGAATGCTTCGTTTGGCTCTGATATCATTTGTAATAGCCCAAACCCACTGCTAGCAGATATTGTTCTCTTCTTTCCCTTTCGGGCTTCCCCTCAAGTTTTTTAAAACGTGTTTGTCAAGGAGATGTTTCCACACCTTTACAAAAAATGCTTCGTCTGACTCTGATATCATTTGTAACAGCCCAAGCCCACTGCTAGCAGATATTATTCTCTCCTTTCCTTTTCGGGCTTCCCCTCAAGTTTTTAAAAATGTGTTTGTTAGGGAGATATTTCCCACATTTATAAAAAATGTTTCGTTCTCCTCTCAACCGAGGTGGGATCTCACACTTCTACCACCCACTGAATACTGAGATGATTCAGGCTTCAGCACTAGAAAGTAGAATGAAGCACCTTTTGATACTTCCCATTAAAAGTAAAGTATGTTATGTGGATATTAAGCAGTGGGTCGAGGATAGGGATGCGAGGTTGGGGATGCACTCTCTGTCTCCATCCTCGATGCTACAAAGAACGTTGTTTCATTCTCTGTGGTCCCATTCTCTAACATAGAGAATTGGAATCACGAGGGAGCTCTAATCTCAATCTACATTTGGCCAATCTTATAAAGATTTTTGTATCTGTTCTTTGAGATTTGATGTGAAAAACAATTACGCACTAAAACATATACTGTTTTCACTTCCAAAATCATGATTTCCCTTAGCATAGCTTTGTTTGTACAAAACAAACTCTATTTTATATGGAAAATCAATTGCTTTGCTCGATTAATTGTATGTAGAAACATCAGCACATGGGCTAGCAGCGCATCAGCACATGGGCTAGCAGCGCATAGACAGATGCGTTCAAGATGTCACTGTTTGTGGCCATTTTACTTTCTTACTCGAAGAGAACACTCTGTTTCTCTTGTTAGGCTAGGGAGACTGCTGCGTATTTATAGCTTACTCAACCGTCATATTATCATAAATAGTAAATAGATATGTATAGTAAAGAGCTAGTAAAGCTATATATGATAGATAGTTATAAATAGTAGATGGTTATATCGGTTAAAGTTATATATAGTAAGCTGAACCGTATATATATATATATATATATATATATCCCTTGGACAAAATTTAAAATGTACTTTCTGTATTCTCTGTCCTGTTCTTTGTGTTCATCTCGATTGAGTCTGTTGTGTGATATTAATATCTCTCAGTTTCTCCTGGTTTCTCTGCCATGGCTGCTCTGTGGACAGGTACCCTGCTCACTCTGGCTCTGCTATTACTGTCAACAATTCAGCATAAAGCAGGTAACCACCAATACCCATTTGAAATTTTAAGTCAATAAATGCTTAGTATTATGAAACTTACTTCCAGACAATGAACTCTGAGTAGGTGGGGAGTTTGAGCAATGGTGTATAGCAGACGAGCAGACCCCAGATGATGAACTACAAATGGCTTTGGATTGGGCTTGTGGAAGAGGAGGCGGCAACTGCAGCAAAATCCAACCAAACCAGCCTTGTTTTAACCCAAATACAGTGAAAGATCATGCTTCATTTGCCTTCAATGCTTACTTTCAGAACTTCAAGCATCAGGGTGGATCCTGTTTCTTCAAAGGAGCTGCCATCATTACAGAGCTGGATCCTAGTAAGCCTCACTTTCACTTTCTACTATCTTAATCACTCTTTCTTTCTGGTAAATTGCAAAAGTCACCATGGCCATGCTTCTTCAAGGAGTTGTCCGATCTTGGAGAGGAGAAAGAAACCTTCCTTCTAAGGGTGTGGAAACCTCTCCCTAACAGATGCGTTTTAAAACTGTGAGGTTGACAATGATAGTAACGGGCCAAAGTAGACACTGTTTGCCAGCAGTGAGTTTAGATTATTACAAATGGTATTAGAGCTAGGCACCGAGTGGTGTGCCAACGAAGATGCTGGCCCCTAAGGGGGTGGATTGTGAGATCTCACATCGGTGGGAGAGGAGAATGAAACATTCCTTATAAAGGTGTGGAAACCTCTCCCTAATAGATGCGTTTTAAAACCATGAGACTGATAACGATACATAACTTGCCAAAGTGGAGAATATTTGCTAACGGTGAGTTTGAGCTATTACAAATGATATTAGAGCTAGGCGCCGAGCGGTGTGCCAGCGAGGACGCTAGGCCCCCAAGGGGGTGGATTGTGAGATCCCACATCGGTTGAAGAGAGGAATGGAACATTCCTTATAAGGGTGTGGAAGAGATCCCACATCGGTTGGATAGAGGAATTGAACATTCCTTATGAGGGTGTGGAAACCTCTCCCTAATAGACGCGTATTAAAACAACGATACGTAATGGACTGAAGTAGACAATCTCTACTGGCGGTGTGCTTGAGGTGTATGCATTTGTCTTTTTACATTATTGAGAGGATAACGTGAACCCATGTGGAAGCCATGAAGCATGTTGGATTTGATTATGTTTTACTTCCATTTTCTTCATTTCTATTAACAATGATTCTGAACTAAAATATTAGAAAGTAAGTTTAAGCTTAAAAGAGTGACTTCGTTTCATTATTACCTCGAGCTCGTCAAAGATCGTTATCAGTCTAATTTGTCATTATTTTAATCTAGGCTCGCTTTTTTTTAAAACCTAGCTATGTTTATAAACTTAGTTTTCAAAAACTAAATAGTTATCAAACGAAACGTCCCCATTTGTCTCAAGCTGAATTGCCCCTCCAGCCTCGTTCTCATTGCAATGAAACTGAAACAGAAAGGAAAGATAGTTCACATCAATCGATATCTTTCTCGTGTTTCTAAAAGATGAGACTTTTTTTTTTTTTTTTTTAAGTTCAACAACATGTAGGGCGGAAGATTTGAATGTCTGATATCTTATTATATGCTTTAACGGTTAAACTATGTTAAAGTTGATTGATAAAGTCGAAATTGGTTATTTAGTTTGGTATGTTGATGAGCATGATTAGCTGGGCTTGAGTTTTTCGTCTTATACATGTTTTGGTACAGGCCATGGTTCTTGCCAATACGAGTTTATTCCATAGTGAGAAGGCGAATTAGAAGAGATCACTGTTTCTGTTACTTGGTTGTTTCTGATATCCATGTAAACTGGCAAGACGGTCTCAATCGCTTTTAGAGCTTCGATCCTTTGATTTTTAATAACAAAATCACTATATTATTTTCAAAACTTCACTTGATTTTTTTTTTTTTTTTTTTTTTTTGACGTTGATTAAAGTAGACAAAAAAAAATTATGGATAGGAGTAGACACTAAATTGTGTGTCAGCAGAGATATTGGGCCTCAAGGGAGTGGATTGTGAGGTCCCACATCGGTTGGTGGATTGTGAGGTCCCACATCGGTTGGTGGATTGTGAGGTCCCACATGGGTTGGTGGATTGTGAGGTCCCACATGGGTTGGTGGATTGTGAGATCCCACATGGGTTGGTGGATTGCGAGGTCCCACATCGGTTGGAGAGGGGAATGAAGTATTCATTATAAGAGTGGAAATCTCTTCCTAACCGATGCGTTTAAAACCGTGAGGTTGATGACAATACGTAATGGACCAAAGCGAACAATATTTGCTAATGGTAGGCTTGGACTATAACAGACTCGTTGGATAAACGTCAACTTTTGTGATTTTTTTTTTTTTTTTTGTCTCTAGCAGTTTAACGGTACATTCTTACAACTCAAATGAGTCTCACCTAATGTATAAAATTTAAATTAGGTTACTTCTATTTCAACGAGTTTTAATCAAAACTCATATGTTATCCGTCATAATTGTTTAGTAGAGTAAGTACCGCCCTTTAATATTACCTGGATTTAGTTTCCAAAATTTCGAATATAAAATTGAAATGAGAGGACAAGATGTTCGGCTAATTGTGTACGAACTTTGAAACTTTAGTAACTAAAGACAACATAGAATTCCGAGAGACAAGATGAGAATCAAAGACATGGAGATGACAACAAAAATAAAAGGTCCCACGAGTTACCCTAAATGCTCAACAAAACGTGTAAATAGAGAAGGTCTTGTTTGGAGCTTGAGATGAGATAGGGAGACAAAAAGAAATAAAGAAAATTTAATATTCATATACGACCAGATCTTAAAACATTGATAAAGTTCAAAATAATATTTGTTACCTCGTCCCTTCCTACTAACATAGAAATAAATTCTCGTAGTATAAGAGTCTCTACGTGAATATCTTCTCGATCAAGCTGAATTAGAACACTACTCGAGTGGAAATGGTTCAACCCACATGCATCATTTGATTGAAGCACTTCAGTCTAGTCGTCTCGAGCTCCGCTCGAGAGAAAGGTCTCTGTTCCTACAATGATTTTGATAACAAACGTATCTCGAATTGAAAACTCGATCCCAAAAAGGTTCAAAACTTCCTGAAAAGGGTGAACATGGTCGGGTAAGGTTGGTTCTAAAAGTCAAAAAGTTGATGATGTGAATGGGATTTGGTTGTTTATATTAGTTTATTTTTCGTGGAAGTTCGTAAAATTATGACACGAAGTTAAGCTTTGTTCTTACTCA